TGTTGGTTTCTATAAGCGGTGAAGTAATACGATTATCTTCCTTCCTGTCATCCTCTTTCAGTTAAATACTGTTGCTCCATATGTTCTTTTCTTCAGTTACCTCCTTGCTTGCGTAGCTGTTACTGTTATCTTAAGAGGTAAACAAAGATATAGCATAGACTTAGAGCAAGAAGAGTCAGTCTGTTCCCTGCAGTGCAAATTTAGAGAGGAGTGACTAAATTGCAGAGAAACTTTCCTTGACTTGTACTTAGGACCAACAAAGCTTGTACTTGATAAAAAGGATGGGATATAAAGAATCCAAGTCTTTTTATTCTCATTGCTATTTTCAGGAAACTTTGCAACTTTCTCATCATTCAAATTGTTGTAATGAAAATCCCTTTTGTTCCAGCAAGACCATTTTTGTGATGTTTCAGTTGCTTTCTTGTCAGAGGAAAATTGCCATTAATGTCAGTGAACACAGTGCGTGAGCACAAGTGTCCCAGGTATGTGTTTTCCCAAGTCTTTTTCTTTAGTGCGTATCACCTATTAAAGGATAGTAGTATCTAGGATATTTCTTTTCAGTGGTGGTTAAACTTCCCCTCATAAGTTAGCTTTTGTTTGTGCAGTTTTCCAATAGGCATCAATTATAGTATAGTCTCTATATTCTTCGTAGCCTTTTAACTTCGACCTTGCTCTCTTGGCTTTCACGATGTGGCTCCTTAAAGGGATTTCCTTTTGCTGACCTTAAAATAAGCAATATCTTCTACAAACACACAGCGTGTTGACCTCAGGGTGTTAATAAACCACTTTTAATAGTTCCCTCACCAAAGCACATTCCTAAGAATGAGAGAGGATGAGGTTTACAAGTAGTGACATCTCCTTGTGATGCTTCTGGTTTGCTTTTGAGGAGGTTTTGAAGGGGGAGAAATTGGTAAGGTTTAATATAAGGTCTTTCATCTGTTTTTACACAGGCATGTTTTCATTTAGGGTATAGCACTCAGGAACTGAATGTGCCTTTTGTACATCTGCCTACAATAGGAAAGTTGTGCTCTCAGAGTTCCAGTTGGCACTATAAATAGCTTTAGAATAATATTCTGCGGAGAGCCACATAAAAAGCCCTCATTGATACCTCTGGGAAACTTGTGAAAAGCCTGAGGAGGAACGGCCTTCAGGCTACAAGGAGGAYAGAGAGACTGCCTGTTGGCTATCACTTGCCATTTGAATTTGACGCAGGCTTACATGTAGATTGAAGATATCCTCTAGTTTCCTGTAACCTCTGATGCTCGCRTAGTTCCCTGGAAAGCTCTTCTTGGCTGCCTACTTGAGATGTGGTAAAAGCATCTGCAAATACAGTTTCAGCTGCCACTTCATGAAGTGGACTGCAAGTTACGCTTCTCCTTTTGGCTTTATTTCCTCTTGTCTATAAACAATTCTCTTAAAGCTCTGCAGTCCTCATCAAGTTGACCTAATCCACAGTTCTCTCTACTTCTTCCTTTTTTTGCTGCTCTGGATGGCTCGCCTGTTCTTGAAGTCAAGCTGGATCTGCTGTTTCCATGTAGATTTCTGCGGTTTCTTTCAGTGTAGCATCCTTGAGATAAGACGTGTCCTATCTCTCCATCTGGCTAAAAAATTATTCACTTGCTAACAGTCTTGCGTCTCAGTTACTTCAACACCCCGGCCTTGGCTTGACAAAAGCAATCTTGTCCTGCCCTTGTCCAAGTGCTGTTGCTAGTTGAATGAATGTTCTTTCTCTCCCCCTGTTTTAAACTTTGTATTGTTGACCATTTCCCCTTTATTTTTCCATTTTCTCCATTCTGTCACACAAAACATTAATTACTGGTTTTCAGTGCCAAAGCTGTGTACAACCTTCTCCCATTTCTTCAGTTTTATATGCATTAAAAGACTGATTTCCCTCTCCAGATGCAGCACCACCCTAGTGTTCATCACTTGCTCGTTGCATTTAGGTACTAGCACTTTTTTTTTGCTGTTGCTGTACAGTTCCCTCATGGAGGAATGGAGCTGTTAGCCAACCATGGCCATTTTGTTGCCCTCTTGCAAATCTGTAAAATTCCCATTTATTGTGATACCTCTGTGTACTTGGCAGTGATTAGACTGATTAATTACTGCTATAACTTATTAAACTTTTGTACTGTAACTTATATGCTGTGCTCACTGATATGCCAATGTTTTTTTAACATTCCTGTCTGTATCTAACTATCATTGCTTCTTTTAAGCTCTAAAAGCTTCGTTTAAGCCTCTCTTAAAAGTTCTTTTGAGAAAAGGACCATCATGATTTCTCTGGTTGTTTTTGTACAAAATTTAGCTCTTTGGACTCCTGTGCAGCCCGGTGTTAAGAATCATTAGGTGATTAGGGTATGCTATAGGTGTGCTTTATAGCTGTGGTGTCTAAGCAGACAGTTAATGGTTTGTGATACGTTGTAGAGAGCAACTGATTGCCCCTGGCACCTTTGTGGAGCTTACCACATACACCATTTCGTTGGTAATGCAGGGAGAGCTATAACCACATAAATCATTTTGTTAGTATTGTGTGGAGAGAGGCATGTAACATCTAGAGATTGATGGATCATAAAATCTTCATAAATTTGGAAATAATATAAAACCTGAAATGGTCTTGACTTATCATTTTGAAAAGGTTCATACTTGGGAAAAAAAAATCACAATACTGAACCTAGGCATCCATATACTACTTTTGGCTTCCCAGGGACTGCAAATGCACTTTTAAGGTAGGCTGAGCACAATAAATCAAACTTTATAATTGGAATCAGCTTGATTTTATATAAAATGTAAGGATTTAGCATGTTGAGGACAACATAAAATTTTAATACTTATTTATATTGTGTTGTATATGTGAGTTATACATTTCTGTGTCAGTTATTTTTGGCTTTTGAATTATTTTCATTTTAAAAGTGTATTTCAACAATGTTTCGATGCATTCAGAAACTTTAAACTAGAAGCTATAAACTGCAGACACTCTGGGCTTGGGCAGGCCCAGAATATCCAGACGTGTGTACATTTCTGGATTTCACTTGAAAAGTTCAGCAGCACAGTGTGTGTTAGCATGCATACTTAGTATCTTAGCTCAAGATGTATTAGAGTTTTACTGGTATAGGGATAAAAGCAAGATGCACTTAAAGTGAGCCTTCAAAGGCACATGCTTTAATTGCTGATTACTAAAGCAGGTGTAAAATATGGACCCAGTCAAAAGCACGTTGACCAAAGAGTTGAGTCATGGCTAAATAAATGCAGCCCAGACAGCACTCCTGTATGCTTTTATATATGCTATTCATCTTCTGCACTGCARATACTACATATATCACTCTGTCCTAGTTTTGTCAATAGAGCTCTTCATTAAATTGAGCAGCCAAAATTATCCGTTAGGTTTACAGCATTAGGTCTCTAGAAATTATCTGTAGGTCTACATCGTGCTCTCTGAGCAAACTTTWGCAAAATGCAAGTAAATGGGCATATTATATTTCTGCAGGGAAGTGTTTTGGCTGTATAACCATGATGATGTGACTGACAAGTACAGGAACAGTGGGGGTTATTGGATTTTTATGGCTTGGTAAGTGCTGCCTAGCTGGAACACAGAATTTTAATCAAGTGAAGGGTTTTTTCCCCTTTCTAATTAGTGATACTCTGAATTCCTTGGGGAAGTCCAGCTTGTGGACCTCATGCTGTACTATACTGCAATAAGCTGTGGTGCTGACTCGGATCGAGTAGCTCAGCTTCTGAGCTTAATTTTGCTCTCAATCTCAAAATATTGCTGAATTGTCTAGCTTGGCATCCTGTATTATGGGGCAAAAAAAGGTACCTTTATTAGATTAATGATTTATTGTGAACAATGCATCTCCTTTATCCTGTGTTCAGAATAAGAGATAAGCCAATATTGAATTTAGTCAGAAAAGTTAAACTCAAATAATTATTTTCCTTCTGTAAGTCACTTATAGTTGCTTACTCTTATGTAGCAAATGATATAATTTGAAAAGAGAGAAAAAATATTGCAGTTACTAGATATTAGTATGAAAAATCAGTCTAGAAGTTGGTTTTGCCATAGGAATCAACACTTCTGAGTGCTGCTCCAGGCTCTGCCACTAAGCTTTTGTATCTTAGCAAGTAACTTAACCTTTTGGTTCCTTAGGGACAATGTGCATTAAGGGCAGGTGTGGCTGGGTCCCTTAAAAGCAGTGTGATGTTAGTATTCAAAGTCTTATTCTGAAAAACKGCCTATTGACTAGAATTCAGATGAAATTATCTATGTGGACAGTTTTCAGGACTGTTATTTCTTACATGCTTGGACATCTCTGACAGATGATCAGTAATTTAAAAGTGCTAAGTTTATTTTTTGAATTTCCTAAAACTTCTGGATCTTCCTTAGTGAGATAACCAGGTAGGAAGAACAAAGCACTTAACAGAGATATAAGAAGAATGTTCAGAATAAATATAAAAAGTAGAAGACTAAAGCAAAGAAAGAAAACTGCTAGTTTAATCTAATAGGATTTGTTACAGTTGAAGCATGGACATTTCAGTCCATCAAGCAATTTAGAAGCCAAACTGTATACTTTTTGAAAACTAGGAGTGATTTAATGCAGTAATTTGATTGCTGATACAAATTCTTGTGCAAGAAATTCAGGAAAGCTGCTTTGAGGTGACAGACCAATATATGTGATAGGAAGGAGGAAAGTTCCGATTTTGCTTGCAAAACTTCTTGACTTCAGCCAGGGCAGAAGGTCGTATGTAGCCAGTGTATGGGATAGAGTTGGAAATAGTGTCTTACCAAAAAGGATTTTCTTAATGATACCCTTTTTGTAACAGTGACATCATTTTGCTAGTCGTCAGTTTGAAATAGCTCATGTTATCTTTGTGAAAATATTTGAGCTGCTGGTGTGTTTTTGTTGTTTTCATTTTCCTAGCTAATCACAAGCAATCACTAGAAAAGTTACTTGAAATAGCAACTATTCTCCTTGAACTGCTGCTTTCTTTCCTTTTGGCTTTTATTTCAGCTGTGGGAGCCAGCTGYTCCAGAGAGTGTGGGAAGCCGACTTGGAGGCCTGTCAGCTGCTGATCCGAGGGTTTGAACTGAAGGAAACCGGTTGCTGTGTTTTTGAGGAAGAGGAGAATCAAATGGATGAGATGGAGAGAATTGGTGATGGCCCCTCTGAGTCTGACAGAAGAAAAGAAAGTCATTTTCCAAAGAGCACAGAGTGGGGCCCTGCTCCATGCCCCAAGCACAGTGAAAGAAAAGAGGTATTTGAAATACTCTGCAGCTGGGTTGCAAGTGATGCAGTTGCTCTTCGTTTGGAGAGGAGGAGTTAAACCTGGGTGATGGGTGAGCAGAACAGGTTAAGGATAAACTTAACATCTGGCAGTCACTATGGGACATGAATAAAAGAGCTTATTGGCTTCTCAGAAATATTTTCAACCCTTTTTCCTTTCACCAGTCTTTTCTAAAGCATGGAAATTATTCAGGCAATAAATATATAATGTACATCTGTTTTTAAAGGAAAAAAAATGGTCTCTTAAGGTTATTTAAGTATTTAACGCAAATTCTCAGATATTCCTCCCCTCACTGTCACCAGTTTCACTCTGAGTTAGTTCTGCTGACTTCTTAGCTTGAATCTATATTAGCTGAAGGGAGGAGACAGTAAGTTTTTGCTACCGTAGTGAAATGGTCACAAGTTTCCTTGCTCAGATGCTGGCAGCCTCCCAGCAGGCATCAAATATTAAAAGGAGGAAAGAGTCATGAGGTTTAAAGGGTTTCACATATTTCTTTCAARTTTTTGTTTTGCTCTGGAATGCCTTCCTTGCTTAAATATTTACAAACACCTAGTAGTCTTTTAACTGCACTGTCAAGATAAACAAGCTATTGAAAAACTACCACAGTGACAAAAGTGCCCTCCAACAGTTGTTGTCAGTTCAGTTAGCCTAGAATTTGGTTGACAAAAATTGAAACTGGGCTTAATGGCACATGGTGTTAACAGCTATTGAACCATTCACTGCATCAGAGACTGATACCTAATTTCGCATTTATACTGACTGAGACTTGGCAGAAGGCAGGCTCCGGCCTGACCTGATTGTAAAATTCCTTCTTATTAGTTAAATTATGGTTTTAAATTGGACTTCAGTAACATTTGCATCCTTTTCTTGGGAAAAGACAATTTACAGACTGGCTCATGTAGAGGACATTTTTGTTGAGAAGGCTGCCCAGCTGGGAAGCTCTGCAGAGCTTAGAGTTACGTGACCGTTTCTGTAGCACTCTGAGGTCTGGCCGAGAGATGACCCTTTTCACCACGGCAAATCTGGATCAATTCTGTGGAAATTGGCATCGTTATCCTGTCAACATTTAGGTAACTGATGTGAGGTGGCTTATTTGCAGCGCTTGCAACACCCTTTGTWAGCTCCTCCTCTTGAGCTTCCCTTTTTGATCATTTCCCATCAACAATTTTGATCATTTGTCTATCAGTTACAGGCAGAACTTAGGGTACTGCCCGATTGACTTCAGCTCTTCATTCAGGCTTTGTGGTACACGTGGCTTTGCCTAGTTCTGGCCTGTGTATACTGAATAAAAATGATTTTGAGAACATGCCAAAATCTATTTAGAAACCGATGTGTAAATATGGACATAAAAATGCCAATCAGTTCAAGACCCATGGAGGTATTCACACATCTATTCTCACATCACTCCTAGGACTGACAAAAGAAAAATGAAGCATTTTTTTAGAGTAAGAATGTTCATTCATTTTCAGAATTTTAGGATGGGCTGAAATAACACAGCTGTATTTTGTCACCACTTACTAAACTAATCTTTCTCTGTCAGCCGAATTGTTCAGTGGTGCCTGCAGCTTTGACTACTGAGGCTGTTATGCACCAGTGACAACTGCAACCCATTGCCACCTTCAAATATACACAGAGACTGTATGCTCCTTCTGGATTTAGAGTTGGCCAGCTTGCTTTTGTGCTTGCAGGCTTTGGGATTTTTTTTTTGCCATGTTGAAGGAGGTGGAAATTGTACCCAGAAAATCGCACCTTTAGGTCACCATAGTGGTAGGTCTTACTAGGCCTGACAGCCAGAGTGACCTGCTAGGGGCGAGCTGTGGTGTAGCACTCCCTAGCATCTTCCCAGGGTTCATCACAAGATAGAATATTAAAATAAATAAATAAATCACCTGACACATTTTCCGGACTTGCAGATTATGATAACTTTCTGTTGTTTTGTTCTGAAGAGAAGGCAGCACAAGGAAGAAAATGATTTGTAAATGGATTTGCTTGAAAGGCATGAACCAGATTTGCAGCATTTCAAAGATTTGTTATATGGTATTGTAATTTTTATTTATAAGCAGTTTCATGTTTGTGAGAAACAAAAAATACAATAATGTGTCCTTTAGCCCCTAACTTAGCTATTTGTTTGACTTTCATAAAATAACTTAGTGATGTGCGTTAGTATTGAACTGTTTCATAGCCATTTATCAGGAAGCAGGCACAGCTAATGGAAGTACTCAGAATTTGACAAAATTCTATGAGAAGAATATCTTGGTGTTTAGCGTGTCCCTGGAGTGGCCCAGTGGAGAGCCTTCAACTCTGTTACCTGATTTCTAGATAAATGAATTTCAAGAGAGAGCTGTTAGTCATTGCAGCAGAAAAGAGCGTCGCTCTCTATAACCAGAGAATATTGAATTACTAGCTTCAAACAGTATAGCAGAAGGTCGTAATTGCATATGTGCACGTGTCTTTCATTTCAAGGTGCTTTTCATTGCCAGGTAGTTAACTTTACGGTGAAATAAAGTGTTCCAGTTATTTATCTTGCTATATCTGGCAAAGTATTATTGTGGACGGGAGAGTAGTTTTGTTGATGTATATCGTTAATACTCTTTCCCATGCATATAATTGTCTTTTAGCATCTTGGTTTCATTAGAAAACAAACAAATTAAGAAACAGCAGAAGAATAAAAGAAAGCAGAATAATGTAAAGAATCCTTAGATCCTCACATACTGCTTTGTAAAAGGGCCAAGATTTTGTTTTTAATTAAATATCTTCACTGGATCATAAAATGCACTCTCAGACATGAAATATGTCAGGTATAAATTCTTTGAAAGTTCAGATATTTTCCTGTCATGTGTGAGCACAGGTTTATTAACTGTCAACAGTTACTTTATAGTCTTCATAACTGTAGTTCCTAAGACAATACGGATTTTTTGTTGTTCTGCAGCTTATTTATGCTGTTAAGTGACATCCCAGAATTATCCCATAAATCAAACTTCTGTTGTAAAATATGTAAGTGGAAAGACCATTACATATTTGGCAGCTCATCTTGTTGAATCACCCTTGCTAATTTTTTGGTCAAAACTAAGTAAAATGAGACCAACAAAAATCATCCTGAAACAATTGGAATTCTTTAGAAATTAAATCATACCCTTCACAACTACATATAACTTATTAGAATTACAGTCTCTAAGAAAATGCTGAGGCACCATTATAGACTATATTACTGTCTATTATATATTATTATAGACAGTAACTTTAGCCTTAATACCATTAAAGTTTGCTTGGGGGTTAATGTAGTAAGAGATTTTGTCATTTTCTTATGTGCTTCTGCTTCCTAGGCGATGGCGATCTTGTTAAAATCAAGGTGCCCCATGAGTGAGGTTGTAGTTTGTCTTCTGCTAGCAGGACAGGCTTGATTTTCTCCTGAGTCTCCGAGGAATTCAAGATAGGTTCTAGTTTCTGTCCCAGAAATGTGCTGTAGTTGTAAATTGACTCCAAATTACTTTGCCCAGGCTACATGTCAGAGAGATGGAAGTTATTACAGTTGTTACAGTTAGATATGTAGCTGGGTGACTTCTGAAATATGCAGTAACATTTCATTTCTCTTCAGATATTAACGCCTGCTTGTTGCACTTCTTCTTGTGGGATCTTGCTTTATTTTTTGCTTGTTGATAGTATATGTGTAAGCAAAACCTTTCTATAACACCGGAAGCAGCAATGATAACTAATAAATTTGGAGATGTGTGTGTGTGCTGGGACCTCCCTAATTCCAGGTATCTCAATGAACATGCCTATGTGTGCACCTGCAGCTTTTGTTCCTGACCTATCCTTTTTTCTCCTTCCTCTGCTATCTGGCATGCTGTGCAGTGTTCCCTCTTAATCCCTATGAAGGAAAGAAACACCTACTAGATTTCAAGAAAATTCAGGTGATTAAAGTTACAAGGTAAAAACCCAAAATTCTCTAGTGTAACCTTTTGTAAGTCAGCATTGCTGGTAGATGCCATGGGAGAATTCTTTGTAGATGATTTCTTGTTCCTTTGCTGTAGCTGAAGCGGAGAGAAGGGGTTAGCTTAAGGGCTGCTGGTTTTTATTTTCCGAACCTCTGCGTCCTTCAGTTTTACCAGCTGGGGAAGAGGTTTGGGATGTAAAAGCCCTTTGGTGTTGGGAAGGTGTTCTGGATCTGCAAAGCACTGACTTGAGTCATCATGTTTAAGGTCTTAAATGTTCTAAGTGATTTTGAAGACGACAATCATGAAAAAGAATAGCAGTAAGCAATTTTTCATGTGATGTCAGTCATTGAAAAGAAGTCCTCAGAGCCTACGACACACCTTTTTTCAGAATTTAGAGACAGCAGGCAACAAGGACACCTCTGTGAGCAGGCTTTGACTTATTACCGTGCATTGAAATAGCCTGCGATCCAGCAGACAAATGTGCACGTGTAAAGGACAAAGCCTTTAGGAAGCTAAATAAACTGTGCTGTCCTTTAGTTAGATGTTGTAGTTGTAGAGCTTCATAAATAATTTTGAAACTTTAAGTTTAATCTTCAGTTTAAATGTCACCATTAAGCGTTACAGAAAGTCAATGTTTGAATGCTTTCATATTCTTAATGCAAGAGGCAAAGGGTTCCTGTGACAACAGGCAGCTGGCTTGTATACAACAGTCAGACCTTTGCTGTACAGTCACACTTAACTGGTGTGCAGTAAGAAGCCACTTAGTTGCATGTTTTAGTAAACATGCTAACTCTTTAGATAGAGATCTTAGTACCTCAGTAAATTTAATCCTTACAAGTTCTTTGAATACTGTAAGTTAATCTACCTATTCTTTTCAGGTAGATTATGGAAATATTCAGTACTAATGATCTTGGGACAGAATAATGATTTTACACTTCATATATACACAAACTTAAGACACTAAGTATCGATATATTGAGGCAATATCTCTATCTACACTTTTAAAAGGCTGTCTGTATTGTTATATGTGCAGTGAATACTAATGATTTTCCACTAATATTAACATCAAATTTCTTTGACTGCTCCTCAGCCAGACAGTGAATTGTTAGATAATTTCTTGTAAACTGTAGAGCTGAAGCAAGTTTTGAGAGGGGATCTGACTCTAGTTACCATGTTACCACATAAAACATCAGTGGGGTGTTTCACWTGTTCCTCCCCAAATCCCTTACAGAGTTTGTGTCAAAAAGAATCTGTAGATTGTTGAGGGTTATACGAAACCTACTGTGTGTTGAGACTAACTTTTCTACAAAGTTAGTCTTTTCTAACTTGCTGTGTCTCCAAACATAGTAGATATTTCAGTTTTTGGGAGAGATTATTCCTTATGGGTTTTAACAAGGAAACCAAAAGACAAACTTCCAATAAAATGCATTCAAATTTAGCTTTAAACATTGTGTGGCTGCTATGACTCCATTATAAAGGCAATTGAAATGTTGTAGCAAAATGATTTAATTGTTCATTTTATGTTTTTTAATACGCCATAGTGATTTTATATGGTCCATTGAAATCTTAATGTTCATCCAACATATATGTGCCACATACTTAATAACATCTCTCTAACAGGTTTTGGAAGATATTTCATTTGGAGCAGAGGGTCATTTATCTGAGGTAAGTGTTTTCTAGGCAATATAAAAAGGCAAGATTGTACCAATTTATTTGGAGCTCAATGAGAGCTAGTGGTACTGCATCCTGTAGCATTGCTCCTGGGTAGAAATCAAGAGCAAAACTGTTACTGAGTGCACAAGATTTCAAATAGCAATACACTGGCACGACTCTGAGGCCACTTTTTTTTTCCGTTAAAGATAATAGCAAAATTGCTTCTGGTTTCAGAGCACTTATAGTTAAATCCTGTGCCAGTGCTTTTGACAYGTATCAATAAAAGGATATGATGTCTGGGAAATGTAGGCCCAGTAATAGTTAGTCGGCCCATGCCCATGTCCACTAAAAATATTTTTCTGAGTCCTATTGAATGTATTTATTTTGAGAAATATAAAAGCCTACAGCATAATCTTAATGATCTTAAAATCTTAATCTCAATCTCTTAATCTCTCTTAATCTTAATCTCAATATATTTTTAATAGGAATTTAATCTGAATAATCTAGTGAATGCTTGCCATTTTACAGTATTTTCATAAATAAAAAGATCTGACCAAAGTCTAGGGTWACTGGCTGGTTTGAAATGTATTCCCTATGAAAAAAAATGATGAGAGAAATCTGTTTCTTTTTTTCCTGYCTACGTACAAACTAAGAGTTTAGATGATATCCTTAGGTAAGGACATTTATACTGGACCAAAGAGCTATACTGATTCACTGTGATCTCTTCTTGTATCCGTATGCCTTGGGCTGCAACTTACATATTAGGAAAATACAGTATCAGGACATTATGCCCAGTAAGCAAATTTAATTACATGGGTAAGTAAGCTCCAGTTCACTTCCCATGATAGCCTACATGCAACCTGTTAAGTACAAGTGACAAGTGCTCAGCCAAGCAAATTAAAAACAAAACAAAACCCCTGTGTTGCAGTCTGGGATAGCTATTTGGATGAGGTGTTTCTTTGGATTCCCACCACTGAATCCAGAGACTGTGGGAGCAGCTGGAGCATTCCAGGGAAGATAATCTACTGCAAGACCAAGCTCAGACTGTTGACCTTCTACCCAAGGAGACTGTGACACGAGCACAAGCCTGGAGTGAAATGCTTAGCTGTGCAGGAATTYAGCGTAAATAAGAGCAGGAAGCCTGGAGAGGGAAGGTGAACTTTGGAAAAAACGGCCGCCCGAAAATGCAAATGGCCTTTCCTGCCGGTGGACTTGGCTGTGCATTAAAGCAGAACTGTGCGGTTCTGCCCAAGGACAACGTGATCTAGGAGCAGGCAGCCCCACACGATAAAGATAGGAAAAAGCCCTCCTGCCAGGATGAGAAAAGAGTGAGAGCGTGTCGCAGCGTCAAGCCCTTGGCTGCAGGTAGCAGCCAGCACAGCAGAATCTGCTGGAAACTCAAAATTTTGCCAGGTCTGGACCAAGGCAAATGAGAGAGCTTCTGCAGGCTGGTGTGCAACAGTGACCTGTTCAGCTCTTGGCTGAAGAAGTTGTTCCTTTGCTTAACAGGGGAGCATGCAGAGCATGAGAGTGCTGAGCTCACGCATGTGCTGAGGCTCAGCAGAGCAACCAAGCTCAGCTAGGTGTGATTGCCCTTGAAGAAGCCTGCCTGGAAGACAGACATTAACAGCTTAATGCCTGGAATTGCCACTGTCTGTGGAAGGGCACTTGGCCCTTCTGAAGTTCTAAGGAAACCAATGCATGAAGAGTGGGGACACACTGTAATAAGGGCAGTGGAAAATAGCTAGAAAGCCAGGCTGTGCTGCACTACCACAGCTAGACTGATGCTGACTTTTCAGCAGTCCTCTAAGAGCTCCAGGAAAGTGTCAGCACCCTGTACCATGGCACTGATTTGCTTAAATGTTCCTTTGATGCTCTGGTCCCTTAATCCAGCCTTGTCAGTCTCCCCGTGGCCTGCAGGAGGGCACCTTTTAGTCATTCCAGGCGGCCCCAGCTGGGTGGCTGAGGACCAGAATGAGGAATGAACTATGCTAGGAACCACCTCTAAGTAGAACCCATCTCTGCTGACTCTGGCACACAGCAGGACACGGACACTAGAAAACAATTTGGTGCTTTTGCTTCTTTTCCAAGTCCTGGCCCACTGTGAATTTTTATTGTCAATAAAAATAGTCAATAAGTAGAATCAGTCTTCCACAGCAGGAACTGGAATTATCCATTTAATTAAATGAGCCAGTGCAACAGACCACACTGATTTTAGGAAGTCTGAGCTCACGGAAGATCCTCAGTCTGCTCAGGATGAGGAGGGGAAAACCTCTGTCACAAGCGCAGCAGGATGCCCAAGAACTGCAAAGTAAGGGAAGGCTCCCTGCCTGCCTAGATGCTCTTCTAAAGAAACTCCTCAATAACTGTAATGCCAGGTATGTGAGTGGCAGGATCGTGTCTGTGTGGGTGAGGGAAGGGGATCCATGTAAGCAAAGGGGATGTGGGAAAGGTGTGTGATGGTGGGAAGGAGGTAGCTCACAGCTGCAAGGCAGCTGTCCAGAAAGCTTCAAGCCTGAATCATTAAAGGTGAGAAACTGAGGAGCATGTTGTAGCACTGCATTCTYCTAGATACGCATAAGCAGGCTGGTGGAACAGGCTGCTAATGTGTAAGTGGAAAGTGGTACAGGCAAAAGTAATCAGAAAGCAATCATGATCCCACTCCGGAGAAAGAAGGGTAGCCKCCTCCTTATGCCGGAGGAACTTTGTAAGGGAAGAAAGCAGCAAATGATCTTGGGCACCCCTAAAAGAAATAATTTTTAAGGCACAGTGCTAAGSTCCAGATATTCTTTTGGTGTAAAGAGCAAGCACAGCAACAAGCTGCWTATCTATGTGAGGGAGTCTTTAGTGAACAAAAGAATTTTAAAAAGGAAAGAAAAAAAATATGACYAAGGGTGAGCCTGAAAAAAAACGGCACACAGTGTAAGAATGAAGCCAGAAGGACCACAGTGCACACTAATTTACAGAAAGCAAAAGACAGGCAAACTGGCAGGTGGGTTCACAGATAAGCTGAACATAAGGGATAGGTGGAAGACAGCATTGATATGTCTTCCGACAAGGCACATGGCTGAGAAAATAATGAAATGGGAGCAGAGTGCAGAAATATTTTTCTATATTTTCTTTGCTTTGATATTTTCAAATAATAACCAACTGTGTCCAAATATAATGCTGCCAGTATTCAGCATGAGGTGGCAAGAATAGAGAGTGGCAGAGAATCCTAGGGTAAGTGAGATGCACTAAAGACAGGAGAGACTTGATGAAATTTATTCTGAAGTGCACAAGAGCCAAGAAAAACAATCTCCAAACCATTAATAAGCTTGTTTGAGAACTCCTAGAGGGAGGATGAAATCTCAAGGGATCAGTAAAGGGCAGATTTGCTATCTGCCTTTAAAAAGGGGATAAACTAGGAGAATATGTGCCAGTCAATGTAATTTCAATTAGAATTAGAATTCCAAATGATCCTGGTAGATTGAAAGAATAGCCTGAAATCAATAAGATGTGATACATTAAAAGACAAGTGCAAATTACATTTGAGGAAAAAAACAAAGGTTTATGTATACAGATGGTGAATAGCAAGCTAAGATGACAATACTGTAAAAACAGAATCTATGGTTACAAATAGACTGAAATTTATTGCCTTCATCCTRTTGCAAAAAAGGGGCAAATGTCATTTTGAGCCTTACAAAAGGGAATGCCAAACGTAAGGCAAAAAGGTGGTTACTGCATTTAGGTGGGAAAGTCAGAGTCTCCTGAGCAGCTCAGGCACCTCACTCCCTGGGAGGTGGGCACCTAGGGAAGAAGGGAATCAAAGGTTTAGGAATCCTGCTCTGATGGAAAGTCGAAGCCTTCAGCTGCAAGTCTTCAATCAGTACCGATAAAGAGGGCAGTGATCAGTTATCATTGTGTGCTGTGTAAGGGTGAAATGGAACATAATCAGCTTAGCTGGCAGCAAGGGAAGCTGAATTAGGAAAGCTTGCTCCCTGYGAGGACAGGGTAGCCCTGGAACAGGCTTCCCTGCCAACAGCCTTTCAGAGCTGTGCAGGCAGACAGCAGTCACGGGCAGCAAGGGGGTGTTTGGTCTTGCAAATCACGGAGGGCTTTAGTGATCCCTGATTGCTTTCTGGTCTGTCTGGCCATGCCTAGATGGCATGGTGGTCATGAATAATATACTTTTTTGAGAATAAAAGGCTGGGTCTGTTTTGTAGGTTTTAGGATTTTAGCACACAGGGCACAGAGAAATGTTTTCTCCAGGTGTGCTTTGGATACTTAGTGGCTGTGTAGCTCATTAACTGAGGGCATGGGAAAACAGCATGCACGTGACTTAGGCATCTGCTCAAGCAGGAGAAGTGTATGGATGCTTGCCCTTCATTCCTAGAAAAAGATTTAAGGTCCAGAAGGCTGGACCTTCGCTGGATTTTCAAGTACTCACAATTTCTGTTCTCTTGTGTGAGGGATGGGSGTCTGTTTGCATTCAGTGCCTCTGCAAACAGCACGTCCCTGTTCTAGTTCTTGCGCTTATGAAGAGTACGTCTGCAAGAGCAAATTTTGTAGTTGTTATTTATGTTGTTTAGAATGATCTTAATCCCTATAGGAGAGGCAGGATCTAATGCAGATGAAAAAAATCTGTCTCTGATGCTCTGCAGATGGTCGTCGTCTTCTGTGGCTTCAATTTTACGTATTTTATTGGGGTTAAATGCTGCTAGTTTGAAGCAGGGCAACTTATTTTTACAAAGTCCTTGTGTAGGGAAGACAAATGTTAAGGATGTATCTGGGAATCCTGCTTCTCAGCACAATGAGCTACAACACTCTCCGTAACTGAGTTGTGTTAATCTAGATACTGGAATACTAATTCTTCCTTATAAAATTGCTGAACTAGAGTCAAGAGGGCATGGAAGGTGTTTGGTCTGGAAAAGGTGATCAGACATTTTTCTTAAGTGATACTGCAGCAGAGCTGCTGCTATTAGGTGACTAAAATGACTTTTATAGAAGAGTAAAATGAAATGCAGAAGACTAAGGTGGAAACCCATCCCTTCCCTCTGGATTCCCTGTGCTGATGCTGTGCAGGAGCTGGCGCRTTGTCTGCCCTCCACGTTTCTTGCACCAGAATCTTGCATCTTGCAGAATATGAATTTCTTATCTGTACGAAAAAGCAGAGGGATTTCTTGGGTCACCAGCTTAAAAAAAACAACAAATCACATCCAGTTTGGTATCTATTTTCACCTGCTTAAGGATTAAAAAAAAAAYAATAAATCCAGCCAGCTACATCCCCTGCTCACACAAAAATCCATAAAGCAATATTGCATCTCAGCACTCTCCTGACTACTTCAATCTTTCCTGGCTGCTTCCTAAAAGTGCTGTTACTGCAGAAATAACCAAACAAGCCTTAAGTTGCCACAAGAGTTACAGTTGCTTATAGCACTGACATAACCTGCAAGCTTGGATGAGTTGTATTTTATTAATATTTTGAGCTGGAGGCAGAGTCCGTTTCCTTCTTGATGTGCAGCGTAAATGCCAATTTCCAACCAGGAGCTGCTCTGAATAGTTTGTGTGTCACTGCTAGTGCTTTCCCTGCCTCCATACACAAATGTCAAATAAAATGTTAGCAGTGACATTAATAGGCATGAAAGACACCAGGAGGAATCTTTCCTATCTACTTCTCTGGGCTGTCTTATTTTTTTTTTAAACTGGGGCTAGGGGCAGGAGCTGTGAAATTCGTTGAATATTTAGAATTTTCCTGTATGCTTTGGAAAGCAGTGCATGTTTTTTGCAGTGCCATGTATAACTCTTCTTGATCTAAACTAAAGCTAGAGCTACCTGCACCAACCTTTCTGAACCATAAAGACCTTCTTTACTTGTGTGTAAAATGTTGTTTAAAAAGGGGGAATGAAGTCAAGTAGGAAATCCTTAGGTAGCCATACACTGTTGAGGATAGTCATCCAGTTGTATTGCTAATGTGAATTTCAGGGCTGTAGTTTTATTTTATTTGGAGTTTACAGGATCTGTGCTCCTTMGAATTAAGCCACACTTGCAGCTTGATGGCTTTTTCACAACCAGCATGTCCAACCCATTGGAAGTTCAGTGAGGGACTATTTCCAAAAGGCCTCTTTTGGTCTTTTAAATATTTCATTTTTGGAGGGGACACCCTGCACTTAGAGAATCAGAACTGAAGAATTAATTGTACATGTCAACCATAGAGTATTTCTACAAGTATCTGCTACAGATGATTGGAACTCCTAACTCATGTCCAGAAACATTTGTAAGTGAAATTTATCCTGGAACTTGCACACTTCTCGTTGCTTGAGAGGGAAAAGATCAGTGAGAAATGACTTTGGCAAGCCATAAGGAAGGAAGGTTTTATGATGGTGCRTTGAAAAGCTCTATCCAAGATCTACACTGTGTTTGACAATAAATGTCTGCATACTAAGAGCCAGACCTTTTCCTAAGGAACAGATGTAGAGAAAGGGAGAATTTATTATTCTTAGCTCGAGAGGGGGAAACTTGAAGCAAAGGAGGAGGCTGTGYGTTGTCCAGAATTCAAAGGGAACGTGCAAATGCCCAGTGCACTCAATGCATAACTTAGCAAGAGGTGGTGCTTGCAGATCCTCTGCTCATCTCACAGCCTAGCTCATGACACAGTATTGACTTGCAACAGCCAGTGAAGGTCCCAGGTGGACAGGAGCTTCCTATCTGACGTGCATGCTTAACTACGTCCTAAAACTGATACAGCAGTGGCAGCTCAGCAGGTTTGCTGGATCGATGGAGCGTGGTGGTGTTTCTTAAGTGCGGGCTGTTTGTGCAGCTCCTGTGCTCCAGCCAGCCAAGTGGAGGGGGCGATAGGCTCCTGGCACCAGCTTTGGCAGGACTGACKCTTTATCCAAGACTCATGTTGTGGTTTGCATGTCTTTGCAGCAGCTGGCAGTTTCTTCCTCGTATCAATCATCCGTGTAACTGCTTCCAGGTTCAGTTGAGCTGGGGAGAGGGTGCCATAAGGCTGGCTTAGTGCTCCAACTGCCAGCCTAGCGGGAAGAAGGAATGAAAAGAGCAGGGGGAGTTTGTTGCCACAAGACGGGAGAAACTCTGGATGTCAGTGGAGAGGTTGGTCTAAGTCCAGGAAAGAGGCTGAACGTYGTGTAGCTGCTGTGACAAGACTGTTAAGCGGCTGAAACTAGAAGCTTTTTCTAAGATAATGAATATAATAATAATGTATATGGATAATGTATAGAATCTCATTCTGGGGAAGAGGAACCAGTTGTGTTGCACTCTAGTCCTGGTAGGATGTTAAAACCATTACCAAAATGAATAATCACACCCTAAAAATATGTAATCTTTTCTGCAGGTTATTTGCTTTCCTTGTAGGCCTTATTGSTATGCAGAGAGTTGTCACTGGCATGCAGATGGTGAAAGGCACAAATCTCACTTCTGCRTTATTGTTTCAGGTCTTCTGGAGGGGTTTTATTTTCTGTGTATGTGCATGTTAACAGACTGAACACAGAGCTCAGCTTTTAGAAAAAAAAAATGAAAGCTGGATCACAGGAATGATTAGCAGCCTGTTTGTCCTCTTTACAGTGTCTTTCCGTAGTTCTCCCTGGATTTGCAGCAGGATGGACAAGATCTCCCACAGTTCCTTGGAAAAGGACCATAGCCTCTTCAGTTTGGTGTAGGACTAAGGATTTGCCTCTGGGCGTCTTGCTAGCCCACACGGAGTGCTAATGAGGGCACAGTGAATGAGGAAGGATGCGGATGTTCACAACAGGGCTAGACAAATGCAGCCAGTGGGTTTATTGTTTAGATTTGATGCTCAGTGAAAACATAGCCTAAACTCCGTGCATTTGCAAGTACTAGAAAGGAAACAGGAGGACCATTTTAAAATGGGGAAGATGGATTCTTTCTTACAGCTATACCTGACAGTGCTAYTTAGGTGACTCATTATCTGGATGAGCTGTCATGCCATCCACAGTATCCCAAAAAGGAAAGGGGTACCCTATTGTAATGTGTATTTTTACGATGTTTTTCATATTTAAATATGCTTAATGACACAGGTATTCAGGAGAGTACTTTAACATGCACRTTTTCAGTTGCTGTCTATAATGACTGATGATTTCAAACCAACACTAAAGATATCATTCATCTTGACAGCACAAATATGATCCAAAATCTAACATGCTAATAGTTCTTGATAAAAGCAGTGACTGGATCAGACGAAAGTATTCAATATATTGATATTGTAGAAGCTAGAGTCTGCGTTTTATGTGTCACTATAAAGTAGCAGTTCTTCAGGATCTGTACAGGATTGATTCGTTTTGCCTGAGTACACAGTCTGTGGTGAAACTCTTATTTGAAAACTTGGTTTATACTTTTTATCTGTTAAAGCAATTTACGCTTAAAAGTTCACAAGTTAATTAAAGGCTGTTCTTGCTAAATTAACTGTTCAACTGTCATATAGCACTGAGGATTTTTGGTCTTGTTTTTCTTGTTTGATGTGATGATTATGTGAAGATCGAGCTGTCTTATCAGTAGTAAACCTCTATAGAAAAATCAGAGTTCAAGGTTTTTCTCGGTGACTATCTTTCAGATGTGCTTTCAGAGCAGTAAATTTTAATGATTTACTGAYTTTTCCTACAATAAGAAACCTAAGTGCTTTTAGATAACTGTTACCTGTTCCTGTATGCATGACACAGGATGATTTTCTAAGAGCTTTCTATTGGTATAAATTGCCTGGATTATCCCTCCCCCTAAAAGCCTGCGGAGTCCTGCTGGTACATTGACCAACAATTTAGCAGCTGGATGGAGTTGTTGTTCTTCTGTCCCCTAGTCCTGAAGCAAGGACATCCCTAGTTGCTGTGGGGAAAAAATACAGCTTCTTTTCTCGTGTTCTTATGTTTCAGGATTTTTTTTTTACCTCTTGAAATTTACTTTTATAACTTCTCTGAAGTTCTGCTGTAGGTTATGATATTTGGTACTGACTCTGGAGCACATGCACTGAGGCAGCAACTCAACCAGGTGGTTCCCTGTTTGTCCGGGCCTGGCTCTGCGCTCCGGGTGTTCCCAGGACGGCCTCTCTCTGGCTCAGCAGTCCAGGACTGGAGCTGCAGCTGGTTCCCTGCCCATGGGATGTGCTGAATAGCTGTGCCTGGCAGAAGACATGGGAATGCGGAAAGGTCAAGGCTCTGTGCTGGAACAAGGATGTGCCAGCCAGCAGGGCTCTGCTGACATTTGACTCCATTTGGGGAACCAGGTCTTTGGAAGGCTTGATGGACACAGGTTTTCTGTCAAGCAACCATCAATACTACTATTATGTCTCGTGCCCCAGAGTAAATACATTTTGTGTTCACAGGAAATACCCAAAGCGGTGCTTCTTGAAGTGTCTAAAGGGCCTAAAAGTGTGAGTCATACCTCCAAAAAAAAAAAAAAAAAAAAAAAAAAGAAATTTTAGGAGTCTAAATGGCTTAGCATGAGATTTCCCTCCCCTGCTGTGGTGAGACTACATGGAAGAGAGAGAACAGTTCAGTCTTCACACCTTTTAATCCTCTGCTGAAAGTGACCTCATGACATTTTTGTGCTGGGAAGTAGACTGTGACCACAAGCTCATTTCATTTCATGTAAATCACCAAATTATCATGTATTAATAACTTTCAGTCGCTTCAAAGGGATCTTGGTTTGAGGCAATGTTTTAGCACTGCAAAGCATTATATCCCCCTACCAATATTTTATGCTYTCTTTTTTTTTTGCTGCAAGCTTCATGGAGAAAAATGCTTTCTTTTTCAACTTCCTGTAGGAATTCTTCATATTTTCCGCAGAGCTGGGAGAAAAGTGTGAAGCAATAAGTGAGAAATTGGTGCATCTGGAAGAACAACTGCAAACTTCAGTCTGCAAAGTTGATGATGGAGTTATTCATATCCTTTTTGATATACATAAATATATGTGTGTGTGTGTGTGGTATATTTGCCTTTGAGATTCACATAGAGTACTATTATTTTTTAAGGTAAATTTAATATATTAAGAAAGAGAGAATCAATTGTCTTGCTAAAGTGGACATTTTTGTTAGAGCAAGTTTTCCTGCGGTGCATTTTCACTGTAGCCTGCACCAGCCTTAATTGATTTAAACAGAAGTTGGCTCCTTGTAAATTGTGATTAGGTATTGAAATGCCTTCATTCTACTGTTCTATCCTTTTGTTTGTAATGTCCATATAAGTAACTGTCTACTGCACAAAAAAGGTACAGGGCAACAAGCATCCATAAATCTCAATTTCCAAACATGATTTAACTAAATTAAATGATACATCATTGACTCTGACTGTGAATATTGTCGCATTTAATTTGGCCTTTGTTCCTTTTGAAAAACAAAAATGGCCACAGATGCATCATGTGGCATCCTCTGCAATTTAATTTGCTTCCAACACTACAGTGTGAATTACCAGATGAGATGTCTTATAAAGTATTCTTATCTCTTTTTATGCCTCAACTGTCGTTCAGAATCTGCTTAAAGATAGCTTAGCCTTTACAAAGGCCTGGTCCACAGAATGTTTTCAGAACTTAAAAGTGTGGATTATTTTTTCATTTCTGACTTCCATAGAAAAGTTTATCACAAAATTTAGTTTTCTGAGAAAGGGAAAAGGGCCTAAGAATCAGTGAGACAGAGGAAGAGAAAAGGTTTGGGGCAAATGGATAATGAAGAAAGATGAAGAAATCTGGGTTTGGAGAGATTACCAGATCACCCTTGCAGATGCCTGAGGATGAGTTGAGAGTGACCACGGTGCAGATTCCCTCTACCCTGAAGCAGAGATTGGGACAGTCTTGCAGAGCGGGGTTTAGAAAGGGCTGGTTCGAAACTAGAAAACGRAGTAGATGGAAACTGTGATGATGCAGCCTTGCTTTAGCTAAATGAGCATTTATTGCCAGCTATTGCAAAGCCTCTCTTACAGATCTGATCTCTTTTCCAGAAAGATTATTTTCTTGTTGAACATAGACCACTTTCCAGTGTTTTGTGAACTTTCTTTACAGTGTACACGTTCCCTGCCAGTTGTGTTTCCCTTTGCAGTGTTTGCGAGCATTCTTTGCGGGCCTGTATGCATGTATGGCTTGTGCATGTGTCAGTGTCTACTTCCTTTCTCACTTAACAAACATTTGCYCTTAAATGAACATGAGTCCAGGAGTCTAATGAATAGCAGCACACTGAGAGTTGGAGTCATGGTTTCTGTTACAATCTTTCCAGAGGTCTTAAGTTCATATTCAGACCCAGCTGTTACCGTGACAGGTCTGATCATAGTTACTGGCTACCATCTAAGATGCAACAACTCTAAAAAGGCTTTCTTGATTCCTGAAGAAAATACACTACAGGAATGTGAAATAGCAATATCCATGTTTTCTGTATGACATGCATATTTCCTTCTAGATGTTCAAGCTGCAAAAGTCAGTTAAAAATATCTGATCATTAGAAATTTGAGAATTGCGGATTAATATAATTCCAAACCACAGTAGTCTGATCTAGAGCTGATTTAAAGTATCAATGCAATGTAACTCTTGTTATCTACAGATATCTCAGTCCTCCTGCTAAGACCTTCAGTGACAAAACAAGAAATTGTACTTAAAAAGTATGGACATAGAGAGAAGCCGTTCAGCAATTCAGCAACCATTCATTAACATTCAGCTGCTATTTCAAAGGTAGTCCAGATCAATATGCATAAAACGTTACCATCTGGTATATGTAATCACTCTGCTGCACTTCAAACAGGAATGAAAAGAGGCAGCTACCCCAGTGCTCTAGACCTACAGATTGCCTTCGAAGTAGAAATAAGTCAGTGCCTACAGAATGAACAGACCCACTGGTAACTTTYTTAAATTATACAAACCCAAATTGAGATTGGTGCAAAGATTTAGCCTCGGTAGAAGAACAGATGATTAATAGTTGGGTTTATTATCTTCATGGTAGTTTATTTGTTTTTAAATGAAATAATTTCTTGTTTCAAATGCTAGGCAATTAKGCACTGTCCATTAAAAATCTATAGAACTCTCAGAGAGCAAGAGCTTGAAGATCTGAAATTGGAATGAGAGCAGTATAAACTTTCCAAACTCTTATTTTCTGATTATTTTTGTGCATTCTCCTCAGCTTCCCTTCCCTCAGCTTCCCTTCAGCCCCAAATAACTGCCTTCTACATATAAATATTAAAATTATTAGGTCAAAATTTGACAAGATGCTGCACAGATATAATTAGTCTTACTGCTTTGTTATTAAAAAGGCTTTTAAAGACCACATTGACAAAAACAAATTCCTGATGCACTCAAGCTATTTTTCCAGTGTTGTGTGTGTGTCATAGCTTTGATTAATAATTAAGTTTTTATTAGCAGAAAAATCCCAGATGTCATTGTTTTTCATTCTACATTTTGTTGGCAAAGAACACTTGAATCATCCATGCTGCTAGTAATAATTGKCAGTGCAACCTGAGCAAAGGGGAAATATAGTGATATTTCTTTGCCCTGTGTATTTGCACAGACCCRTTTGGGATTTTCATTTAATATTGAAGCTTTTCTCAGCAAATATTAAACTGTGCTTGTRTATAAAAAGCATCAAACAATAGACAAAAAAAAAAAAGCTCTTCTGTAGACTCTTGACAGCTTTGCAGATTTGCTAAATTCTGTGTAGTACAACCAAATAAACCCACAAAACATGCAAGTGTGGTTAATCATTGGCAAGTGTATGAAAACAGTCCACATCATTAGCGGAAAAGCCAAAGGAAGGGAGATGAGTCAGTGCTGGTGTCTGCAGCGCTGATGAGAGGTGTTACTTTCCTGGCAGTAAAGGCCTGGGTTTCCCAGTAAAATTAAACAGAGCCTGTATTGCAATTTCACAGTCATTTTTGTTCTTAATTAGCAGTTACGGTTTGATAGGCAATTTGAATGCCTGCAATAGCTTCCTCTTGTGAAAATGGTTTTGTTGAAAGGAAGCCTGGCTGGACAATTATCTGAAGCACACGCACAATCTCCATTCCTTGGCCTTTAAACGGTTATTCTGAAATCAGAATTTTGTGCCTACACGTTCACCAGGCACTGCAGGTTCCTCACCTTCACCATAGTAAGGGAACGTTGTCATATATGTGTTGATTTATAGCCGGATCAGGAGGGTAGAGAGTAGTCCCTACCTGGACCTCGCTGAGCAGTCTCACCTTGAGTGAAGCTGTAAGAAATTCTGGCAACCTGTGATAGTGATAGGTGGCAATGGGTCCTCCTCATCTTTATTTTGGATGAGAGGAGAGTGGGCTCAGGAGAACGTGGTTAGGAGAACGTGCGTCCACATTTGGCAGTCTCCTCCAAGGAAGGCAGGTCAGTGCCTGTCAGGCACTGCAGCTTCTTTGCTTTCCATGGTGTGCTGCTAGAAATGCTCTGGAGGCTGCTGTCATGGGCGCATCACTGCAGTGATTCATCTTTCAGAATGCTCCGGTGGGTTTTGTTTGGTTATTTTTGGGGGAGTAAWTGGGCAGGGAGGTGCTCTTCTATGAGGGGACAGGAATTACATTTTATTATAGAAAGGTTTAGTGGCTGTGAAGGAGGGAGCTAGCAGTGGASGCAGGGGCAGTAGGAAATGAGTTACCCAGCTTCACACCTACAGGCACCCTCATGTTCTGCAAGAAGGAAGAGGGAACCATGTCAYGTTCTGAGTGTGAGACCACAGAGAYTGGCCTGGCTTAAAGGAGGTKGGCACTGGCGYGGTGTTTTWCCTTCACTTCTGAGCAGTCCAAACCCACGTCGTTCCAAGTCCAGCCTGAAACCTCTTGCCTCCTTTCACCAGTGCTGGGGCCACGGCATTGCTGCAGACTGGGGATTCTCTGTGTATTAAGCTGTCTCAGAGTACTTTATTTCCCTGCTTATGTGAAAAGAGTGGGGTTTTTTTTCCTACTTTCTTTTTCACCTGAAGATCTCCAGGAGATGTTCCTGGTTGAAACTGGTTTTGTCTCCTCCCTTTGGTACTGGCTCAACATTTGTGGGTCTGGGTAGCGAATTTAAGCATTAAGGAGACATTTGCATGGATCAGGTGTGAGTCAGCCACATTATGTGCGTTTTTAAATTGGGCGAAGCTCTTTATCCAGACATGACTTCTGGRTATGGATAGGAATTCCATGCTCAGTCGCAATAACTATATATTTGGCTCAGCTGTAAAGGCTAGTTTGAAAGGCTAGTTACGACTGTACAGCAAGTTATGGTATTATTCATGAGCTTATTGCAACTGCATGTAGACCACTCAGACGTCTTTCTTGTTGTTCCATCTTTCTGTTGGTTGAGTCACTTTCCCTGTCACCTTCATTTTCCTGCTTCCTTCAAGGTATCTGATCCASTGCAGGAAAACATTTAAATTTTGCTTTTTCTCTGTAACTAAAGAGATTTTTGCAATCATTTGGGATATTACAAAGAACAGMGTGTAGTCACAGACTGCACATCAGATGCAATTAAATATCAGGGGCTTCATGATGTTCATAAACTAAAGGATTTTTTTTTTTGTTTTTTGCTCTTACCAGTTAGGTTTTCAACAGAACCTCATCATTAAGTTACAGTGGTACCAGAGCCACTTATCAGAGGACAGTGATGTTTCTTACTTCAGAGGAACTGCAAGGCTTAACTAATTTGTCCTTGTCAAGTGCTTTGTGATCCTAAAAGAGGAGTCGGGGGTGTACGAGTATTACTGATAATGAGTAGTCAGAAGCATTTCAGATTAATAGGACCGTCCAGAAATTAGAAGTATGAATGAATACTCCTGGTAGAAAGTGGTAGAAGATTGTGGTAAATATATGTAAAATACATAAAGAGGAAGTTTTGAGGAACTGGTAACAGAACTAAAAGCAGCCTAAAGGCTTTTCAGAGTGGATAAATGTTACTGCTTGAAATAGAGGTGAGTTGTATAGCTCTCCCATCACTACTTCTAGTCACAATTTTTCAAAAGCAGCAGCTCACTTTTTACAGTTGCATAACCTAAGGGTGTCTTTTTCTCTTGACATTGCCTTGACATTGTGCCTGGGTAAAACAACATTTCATAAAGGCTAAAGCCTGTCCTTGTGCATTACCCTTCCTGTGAATTATAGTTTGGAAAGTGAGTTGTTTCAGCTTCAGCCTGTTTCATTTCCTACGAAGAAATGCTTCCCACAGAGATCACATTGATGTCTTACTGCTGTAGATGAACTTGCTTCTGTCTCCCTTGATCCATTTATGTTTGCCTTTTGGAGTCCTTGCCCCTTAGCCTTACCTCTACCAGAGAGAGCACTGGCCTCAGTGAGGTTGTGGGTAAGCCCAAGGTTTTTTTCTTTTCACATAGACTTTGGTGTTTTAGAGCCTCAGCAGCCTCTGACTTAGCCTCCCACTCTGCTCTCCATGTACAAGAAGATAAAGTTGCTTATCTCCATGAGCTACCTGCAGGCCTTGCTCATGGTTTCAGTGATGGATAGTCTCACTGATGTAAGATTAAGTTTATCAGCAGAAAGGCTGACATACTAGTAGTTTAAACTGTGCTTATTGACGGGAAGGTCTAGTCATGGGGACAAAAAGCTGCACTGCTTAGAAAGCCACTGATTAAAAATGTGTGCACRTCTCAGCAGTTGCTGTTACCTCCATGTGTCTCTAGTCTTCCTTTCATCTGCAGGTGTCTGCTCACTGACCACCTCTTCCACTGTTGTTATCCCAACTGTCCCCTTCCCTCCGACACGTTGCAGCTGGGGAGAGAGGAGAAGGGAAGGTGAGCCCCTCTTCGGAGGTAAAGCTATTTCCCATTGTTTCTTCCTTAGGGCCCTGCAGGAAACCTGACGTAAACAACAGCAAATAAAGTGTGGAAAATCTTGCAACCACATGAAGCGTTTTTCTCTGAATTATGAGATGTTCTGCAAGTGGTTTTGGTCCTTTTAGCACAAGGCAGTGAGATGTTGCTACCACTAATCTCTTTGCTCTTAGTCAAAGCACTGTGTATCTTTGTATCGCTGCTATATTTTTGTTGTCTGCACTATAATTACACTGATAATTCAGCTAAGATTAAAGCCTTCTGGAGGTAAGCAGAGCAGAAACACTTTCTCTGGCACAAGCTCACTTCACTGCTCAGACACTCCCCTTTTTCTCCCCCTTTCCTATCACACATTTCCTAGCTCTCTCACACCGTACACTATATGGTCACTTGCTTATRGCTTGCACTGCGCTCACCTAGGAGCACTGGGGATCCGAGCCTTCCCTGCCCCGAATCTCTGGAATAAAGTCCTGTTCTCTCTGCAGCAGAATAAAATCAGCTCGTGCCACTGCTTCCATGGTACAATTTCTTCATCTCCTTCCATCCCATGATAACAGTATGCAAGCAGTATCCCTCATTTCCTCCCCTTTTTTAAGTGCTAAATAATGCTACTTGAGAAGTTCAATTTGCCTTTTTTTTTTCCTTTCTCACACTTGCCTTCAAAAAAATGTATTAATATTTAATCCAAACAGTTTGGAAGAACTTGAAGCTACAATTAGATAGCCATCTGTTGTGAGCAGCAGAAGAACAATTTATTGAATAAGTTGGAAAGAGAAAAGGGGCTGCCAATCACCTATAGATTTGTTCCTTAATAAAGGTTGCACAGTCTCTGCAAAGGGAGATCCAGGTGGTGAAGGAGACACTCCAGACCGTGATGGTGCAACTTCAACCAGGCAGGGAGGCAGCAGAAGAAAAGGCTGGAGACTTCCTCGGTGACAGCTGGTGTCCAGGAAAACAAGACTTGCAGGAATAATGAGCAGGAAGAGCTGGTAGGATGACATTAATTCGCAAAGGGCTGCTTTTAGTAACTGAATACTGTTTTACCAAGCCTCAGGGATCTCTTCTCTCCCTGCATAACTAATAACTAAATCAATTATGGAGAAGCAGAGCCCGGAGGTCTATCATCTGAAGTATTCTACACGGCCTCACATGTTTTGGCACAGATTGGGAAGCAGCTTTCAGAGCAGAGCATCTCCTGTAAGTGTGTGGATTACAAATTGATATGTTTTAAGTGAGTCTGCGAAGTTGCCTTTAATGTCAGTGAAATGTTCTCCTCAACTCATCAACAATATTTGTCTTCCTCAGTCACGGATTTTTCTCCCCAGTTTAAAAATGTAACATTAAAGCTGGTACATCTAGTATTTCTTGAAGCATAGCTGTAAGAATGTAAGTACTTTTCTTTCTTTGGCTTTCACAGCTTTCTTACACTCAACATATTTTTGCATTCCTGCCAATAATTAAATCAATAGGATGAAATTCCAGCCAACCAAGTTCTTTCAACAGAAGTTTGGACCTCATTTACTCAGTGGTGTGGAGAACAGTGGAGGTAACTAACAGCAGCCCCTACCCTGCAGCAGTAGTTAGACTATTTCATGTATATGTTAATATAAACTTGCTTTGATATTACAGGGGTTATAAAGCACACAATTAATGTTGGTGATTTGCATTACAAGTATAAGTACTGTATGAACAATGTCATTTAAATTTCTTTGTAAAGTTTATTAATGCTATTATATTGCTTTAATCTATATGAAAGTTAGAAGGAATAGACACGTATGTATGTATATACATACTTAAACATGTATTTTTAATACGAGATAAATGTTCAAGTGAGACCAACTGCTATAAATAACCTGCATTTAGATCAGTGTTCAAAGCAGTTAATGATCAACAATTCATCCTCTCCTCTTACTGGGATACTAGAGTATATCTGATATCACACAAAATTCAGCTTCTGCCATTTGTTGCAGAGACRAATTAAAAATATATATGTATATGGTTAATTATCTGTTTTAAGCCAGTAAATGAAGCCAATCACATGTAACTCATTACTGTACTTTTTAATACTACCTTTGTCTGACATGTTTAGACTGACCATTTCTGCTACTTTGATTGCTCATTTCACAGCCACATGGGGAGGGTTTGTGCAAGTTTAGCAGCTCATTGGGCTACTAGTCCTGTGAGATTGTGATCATTTTCCATGTGTGTTAGCTGAAACTTCTACCTCAGTGTTAAGTATATAGGGAGAAAAAGAGCGCCAGGCAGCTGAGACAACCGTACAACAGGGTTATAATTGCATCCAGGAGTATATGGTTGTCAAACAAGGGGACCAGAGCTCAAGTGGTTGCTGCAGTCATCAGATCCTCAGGATATAATTACAACCCTGTAATTCAAAGCATGGGTGACTTTTATCTTTGTATAATATGTGGATCAGCATCCGTGCTGTGGTTAGGAGCCTTGGATCGTTACCGTGCACGGACTGCAGTACTCGGATCCCATCACCAGTCTTGGATGGAGGTCTCTTGCTGCTCTATGGCCTCTTTTTTTCGACAGGTCTCCTTCTCCCAGCTTTGCTGGCTGGATCCTTGTTTGCTACCTACCTCCCTGCTGCTGATGTGGCACTTTCTGAAAATTCCCACAGACGGATGAGCAAAGTGTTAGTCACGGGCTACGGGGAGCGGGTCTGCTTGTCTTCTGGCACCGGCTGGAGTCCAGCCCCATGCGCGGAGCCAGCTCCAGTCTGGGAAACCCTGGGTGGGCTCATGCAGTGTGGGTGCCTGGGGAGGACCGTGAACCACAGAAACTGGCATGAGTTCAGGTAAACAGAAAGAAAGCGCACTGACAGAGTAGACCTAGCAGCTGTTTCCTTAAGGCAAGCAGAAGCTGCTCGTGAGTTGCCATCGGAGAGTCCAGGTCTTGCATTTCCGTCAGTGGGCATTTATAGGACTGCAAGCGCACTGTGAGGACAGCCCGGCGGGATGAACTGTGCACTAAAATTGCATGACCTCCCTCTCCCCATATGCCAAGAAGTGTGTAGAGTTCTGTCCTTTGATAATCTAGTGCCTTTAAACTAAATAGTTGGAGGGCAYTGTAAATGTCTTGGAGCCAGGATCTGCCACAGCTGAACTGTGAAGTCTTCCTCCTTGCAGCTCTTAGGACTCAGCGGTTGGCATAGGAACCCTCGTAAGGACAGGCAAGTAGCATCCTCATTCTCAGCAGCAAGATTTTTGAAGACATTCCAGCTCACTTAAAAACCTATGTGGCGTTCATATTTCCCAGCTTCAGAATGCCARTGTGGTTTAATAACACTCAACTTATGCAACCACTTTAAGACATTGAACTCCTGAGAAGGAGGGAAACTGAATCTGTCCTCGTTTATGTCATATTTGTATCTATTAACATTTATTTTATACATACTGTGGACTACTACTACTTTATTTATTATTCCATTAACTTCACTGTTTGATGTGGGAAGTTAGAGCCAGTAATCATTCTTTTTCTCAGACATGCTGAATAATAAGCATACTTAAAAAATAGAAGGTATACTGCATAATGTCTCAGCTGTTTTTATATCTGTGGATAAAATCCTTTTCAATTAAAGAGTATGTTTTTAACAAAACAGCTGTCGTTGCATTCTTTCCTGCTGGGGTGGAGGAGGGAGGATGGAGGCAGGCAAGGAAGGGAGAAAACATGTGCATGACAGCGTGCTCTTGATGGCAGTGGTGCCTCTGCTTGGGAAGCTCTGTGGTGCCTTCTGGAAACTGTGTAAAAGAAATAATGCATTGGAGACTGGAGTCCCACAGCAAGAGGCAGGTATCTTCAGTGTGAAAGGGAGAGAAATCTGAGCCGTGTGGACATGCAAAACCTGTGCTTAAGCCCCAGCTCAGCCAGTCTTCCTGTGGGTCTGAGACCTGCCTGCCCCCCGAGTACCTCACCCAAGTGAGGAGAGCTCTTCCCTAGCCCATGGGGAAGGGTCAGGGCAGTATGTAGGAATGCCTACAGTAACTCTCGAAGGTAAAGTCATGTTTTTACACGCCATCAATGCCAGTCTGTGCAGCGATGAAATGGCGAGGCTCCTGTACCCTTGTTGGAGGTAGGGGAGGCTGTGACCCAAGGACGAGTGTCCCACTCGTTTACCAGGCCCATGTCATCTCCGGACAGACCGGTTTCCTACCACCTACAGCCACGAATCCCACCAGAGAAAGCCCCTTTCCTGCATGTCCCATGTCCCCTTCCTCTCACACGCTAGGCCTGAGGGATGGGGTACACGGAGGGGTGCCTCGCTTTGGGCACAGAAGTATCTCCAACAGCAGTAGCCGACTGTGGGAGCCGCAAGGAGAGCACTCAAGAGAGCAAGGAGGGGAGCAGTACCCCAAAGGGTGCTTTTATTTCTGTTCTCAATCAATTAGTTAATCCGGTCTTTCTAAAGCTTGACATTTCAGGCTTTTGCTTTTCCTATTATGACTTGTTAAATCAAGATAAGCACATCTCTTCTAGAGCAGCTGGAGAAGGCAGTTATATAATGGCTACCAGGTCTGTGGTAGTGCTTGAGGAAGCTCCAGGGTGGGATTAGAATAATCCTTAYGTATCCTCTTAGTTTACTATCCTATTAAAAATGAGACTGGGACCAAGAGATTTTTAGTCTCAGAGCTTAACATATGCCACAAAGAAGCTCTAAAATATTATGCACATGTGGATATTTTTCTGCACTGTTAAGGAAGATGATAATACACATTTCTGGAGATATATTAAAAAAAAAAGATATATGAATGCAAAAATTTCCTCTTTGAACCTGAAAAGCAGCCAAACCGGCAGCCACAATAAAGCATTTCTCTCAGATTTCTAATGAAGCCTGGGAAAAGAGCATCTGGGGTTGTATGAGTAAGAAAATGTCTGCTTTTCTAACATGTTTGGTATTCAGTCACTCTTATAAACAAATGGCTAAGGAGACCTACCTCGGTATGTGTGTGTAGGTGTCCCTGCTTGAGCTGGGACATTGGGCTAGATGATCTCTAGGGGTCCCTTCCAACCTCAACCATTCTGTGATTCTGTGGTTCTGTGTGTTGTATGCATTAAGATAATGAAGTTAAATAATAACTGAGAAGTTAAATAATGATAATAAGCATAATAAGTTTATAATGGTAATAAACATCAATGCAGGAATGCTAAGTCAAGAGAAGGAGGACAAAGGAAATCAGAAATGCTAAAACGGAGCCCCTCAGGATTATCGAAGTATGCACAAAATTGTAAGGMTATCAGCTCACTCCCCAAACCTAGTTTGATGCCAGTTTTCCAGCGTTAGAATTGCAAAGCTGGCGAAGGCAAAACCAACCGCAATGTGCCGCTCCGCACGCGCGCCCCAGCTCACGGGCACCGCTGYGGAGCTTTGTCAGCTGCTACATGCAGCAGCGAGGTGGCTGCTGGTGCCCGCTGGCAGCCTGCCCTGTGCCAGCAACCGCCATGCAAGATTCATGAGCAGCAACCTGGAGCCGCTCACACATCCGCGCAGATGAGTTTCTCCAGGAATATCTTTGGCATCAGTGTCGCACTGATGGGTTTAGTGACACCTGAGCCGGCCTATTCAACTCCTTGGTGTTCCTGAGAGAAGTAAATGACCATCCATCCTACTACTTCTGTACTCTGCCAGAACCTTAAAATTTTCCTTTCCTATGGCTTTTCCTTTACACTGTATTTTCCAGTCACTTTCTATACATACTCCATGAGGTGAGGTCTGCATTTTAAAAGTCTGGGATTATTTCTTTTCTCTACCACTAATAGTAAGAATCAGCAATGAGGCACTTGTTCTTAGCAATACAGGAKTACTTTGGATCACCATTAACTACTTTACACTGTTACCACTCAGGAGTTTACAAAGGCTTCAACGTGACTTCCTGYAATAGCTGCTAAATAGTGACTATGCTCTTTCCTCACTCAGGTTCTTGGCTAAGAACATGGCATTGCCTTCTGCCCTGAGCACTAGCAAGACTTTAGAAGCCCTGCCAACTTTTTTGCCCACACAAGGTGAAAGTGGACACCGTTTTGGGAAGAGAGCTGCAAGAATGGTTGAAGATTAGGAAAACGCGCCTTATAGTAAAAGAGAAACAAAGCTCAATACTAGTAACTTAGCCATCTATAGATCAAGAAGTGACTTGCTCATGGCCTTAAATGTTTTCTTGATGAAGATTTCTACTCCCTAATGACCCTTTCATCTATCAGAAAACTACATGATGAGATCCGCTATATGAAGACTAACAGAAAATATTAATGTTAAGGAGAAAAAAAAGTACATATTTCTATTAGGGAACATAATTGACTATTCAAGCAAGAAAGTCTCTTGAAGGTAAAGCTTGGACTTCTTTTCATACAGTGTGCAAATGGGCCTTCTTGCATGCTACATGTTACCCACTTGATGCAGAAAGCACCACAATATGGGTTCTTATGGCCTGCAAGTATATGTATGTCACCAAGGAGTTGTTACAATGCTTTTGCCCTTAAAGGCAAGAATTTTCCCCAGTGGCTAGAAAATGAACAAACAAAAAGCCACAGAAGAAGTGCTTTGGTAAACTATTCTTTAACTGCAGAGGCAGAGTTAGAAGACAGCACATCTGGGTGGCCACATTAGAAGAGCCTATATACCTACTCCTGTGGTTTTGAGCAAAACCCCAAAAGGCAAGCAAATACAAGCAGTTAAGGAAAGATGTATTAGATAAGCCTTTCCCGAGATGCTGCCRTTGAAGCTATTACAAATGGTTCAGAAGCCTCGCGGGGCAGAGGCAGCAGTGAGGAGCCCCTGGCCTGCGGTGCCCCAGCCGGCTGCCAGCAGGACCCCAGCTCCACGTGCAATGACACGCTGCCATCTCAGCCTGCAAGGGCGGGATGAAAATATTTGCTTTGCATTTCCCTCCGGCTCCCTTGGTATCAGCCCCCAAACTGCTCCATGTCACCACCCCAGGACACTTGCCAAACAGGACATGGGAGGCCAACRTGGGATTTGACAGCTGGGGAGCCAAGGCAGCGCGGCAGCACACATGCCCTGGGAAATGGCACCGCCGTGCACACCAAGGGCCTCTGCAAGGGAGGAGAGGCCCAAGAAAGCCAAGCAGCTGTGCCAACCACACACCATCTATCTCAGCTCAGGCTGTTAGTATTTGCTCAGTCTACTGCTGGCTCTTGTCATTAAACAAGAAGGAAAAGGTGAAAAGAACAACTTGCCTCTCACAGCCATACGTGATTTGTCATTGCTAATTTTCTGTAATGAGCTGTTGCAAGTGAAGTCAGTCTCTCTCCATTAATCTTGATGAGAAACTTTTCTTCTGTGTCTTCTTACCAAGAACCCTACATTCTTGGAGTGAATACATGCTACAGCTGTACTGAACCCCTAACTATCCTGGAAAATTCACCCTGCAGCTACATAGAGCAGTTCTCCCAGCACATCAGTACTTCCTAGTTATGACATAAGAACGCTAAGGCACCACCAGCTTCCTTCCCTCCATTCTTCCACGTGTTTCTTGTTATTTTGAATTGGAAATGTAGTATCGATTGTATCTGCTTGAATGTCAGGGCTTAGTAAGTCCATTAAAATAAAGAAGAACCTATATAACGGGGAAAAAATGAAGCATCAGCATCATCCCCTGAAAGACAAATGAATTGCCAGGCTTGGTTAACATCTCCTCTTCTGCAGCCTTAGTTACTGGTCTTTAGAAAGTTCTTTCCAGAAGATACATTAAGGCCAGGGAGACGATCATTCAAGGATTTCTTTATTCACTTTCCTTATAAATTGGTAACAGTGCCTACTTATCTTTAGCAAAGAATGTTGGTAGGCATCGGGTTTTGCCTGTACAGCTATTTGTGGTTCCTGGGCCATTTATTATGGGAGGTGATGCTTAGCCCTAGAAATCAAATCAATAGGAGAAAATTGTTGTGACTCTTGCATACAGATACTGTTGTACTTAACAAAAGTCTCCTGATGTCTCATGCTCAAAAGCTCCCATAGTACTAACCCTTCCTCCCCATAAACACCACCCCAGGAAGAGRCCCAAACAGACACATATGCTCCACATTCATCTCTTTAACACCTTTAACATATGGCTTTTAACATGCTAAATGGTGCACAGATTTGGAAGAAAGGGAAAAAAAGCTTCGTAATGGAATTCAATGATTTTTCACGCTGCTAGTCTTTTAAGTTCACTTCTCCTCTTTGATCTTCCTGCACAACCTCCTCCCTCTGCAATGGGCTGGCACCTCAACTCCAAGACCTGTCTGGCTATGGCAGCCCTTGCTCCTGAGCTCTGCATATGTGCTTAAACACACATGCACACTCACACGCATGTGCACCGTCCAGAGGAAMTTACAGAGCCCAGATGTCCAGTTCCTTGGGGCCAAAGCCTCCTGCAAGCTCAGTGCCCAGAGGAGASAGGCGCACCCACAAGCGATTAAGGCTCCCCAGAGGTCTGCTCAGAGAAAGCAATTTCAGCTCAGTGTCATACAYGTCTGCCTTACATTAAAGTCAAGGCC